ACAAGATCCACGTGCCTCAACAGGCTGTGAGTGTGTGAGTGAGTGACCATAAGCCGAACCTGGGAGCAGCGTCTGTAACAGTGCCTACCTTGTTCCCACCAAAGAAACAGAATTCATGATAACCAACCTTTAACATATTTCCATATTTATTAAGATAACAAAGCAGAAAGACATTTGATGTTAGCTTTGAAAGTGCAAACTGAAGTCCTACCTCTACCAGCTCAAGGATACGGCTCAGACAGTAATGGTATTTCTAGGCAAAGGACTCCTACCTGTAGCTATCAAACTATCATGCATCCCTTGTGTATTTTCCTCATTAATGGAATTCTGCTAACAAGAAAATTAATGGCAGTGGTAGGAAAAAAGACAATAATTATAAATGATGGGTGGGCAATTATTCATTAAAAGCCTTACCTGGAAGCACACTATAATTAAGATGATATATTCTTGACTGATTTTCTAGATTACCATTGGAACATAAGTGGGCTACTATATCTGGACTGCAAAAACACAGGCAATCACTAGAGCCAAGCAAAAGAATACAGAATATTAATTCACTATTGCCATCTAGTGTTCATCCAGAGTTTTGCAATGCAGATATAATGGCCTTAAATAAAAGACAAGAATATGACTGGATTTTGAAGTCCCTTGTTTCCTATAATAACTCCAAACAACTATCTCTATATGGATTATGATGGACAGAATAAGAAAAATACATTATTCCATCTAGAAATACAGGGCTGAACAATTTCTTTTTTAGAGCATCTTGCCTACCTTTTCATGCAACAGACAAGATGTTCAGCATATTTTAAGATGCATTTTCAGGGGTATAAGATGCCCTTCATAAAATCAGCAACTACTGAATGACTTTTAAAAAATAAATATAAGCCATGGGAGCCCAACCCAACATAAGTTAGCATATGTGACACCGAGTCAAGTAAAAGACATGATTCAATATCTTTTTTTCTGCACTTTGGGAAGCCTGAAGTTGCCACTTCTCACACCCATTCCTCATGACAGGTAGATAACCTCCATCTTTAATCCTGACCTAGATCAAAAGCATAACAAGTTACCTTCTATAGCCTTATCATTCATGAATTTTAAAAGCCATCTGATCTCTGCAATAACATGAAAATTCTTGTCAATATCTGATGTTTACATTTATACAATTCCTAAGTATACATTCATGCATAACTGCTATGCAGAATGGATCCATGCTTGTTAAGGACAGCTTTACAAATGAACAAGTTGGTAAAGGTTTCCTCATTTCTGAACTAGGAAAAAGTCCCCAAAGGTCAGGATTAAATCCATGCTATGACTGACTATAACAGACTCCTGGCATATTTTTTGCAAGGAATTTATTAAGACTAAAATCTGCCACTAAGCAGTGCCCTCTACTTTAATCCTAAGTGGCTATCAATGTGGTGTAGTCAGTCAGTAATTGGAAAAAATACACTGAAAATTTCCAGAAATATTATAGTTACACTATATACTCCAAGATTAAACCCTGAGGCATAGCGGACCACTGGTAAACTCTGGATAGTGTTCTCCCCACCCAAAAGCATCCCAGAAGATTATTTTATTTCAAAGCCATCTATATTTGTATGAATCTACAGGTAGTCCTCAGCTTATGTCCATTTGTTCAGCAACTGTTCATTATGGCGGCACTGAAGAAATGGACTTATGACCAGTCCTCTAAGTTCTGGCCGTCAGTGTCCTTGGGGTCATGTGATCACAATCGGGGTGCTCAGCTCGTGATTACATCACAGCAAGCCTTATCACGTGATCACCATTTGCAGCCTTTCCTCCCAGCTTCCCACAAGCAAAGTCAATGGGGATGCCAGCAGGGAATGTCACAAGTCACCCCAGTAATTGCTCTCTCTGTTTTTTCTCCTGAGTAACCTGCTACAGAGTACGAGATCCCTGAGATCTCATACTCTGTGGTACCCCTGCCTGCACTCTATAGCATGAGCCTGCCCTCCTGCAGCCCCCAACCCACATGAGTTCCCTAGCACCCACCCATGACATCTCCCCACCCACCCCAGGGTACCTGCACACCCCTCCCTGTGCTCCTTATCTGGGACTCCTGCCTCTTCCTGCTTAATGATCTGTGCATCCTGGGGTTATGACAGCAACTGGGACAGCTGGGATTGCTGTTGCTAAGCGATGTGGTCACATGAAGTTGCGCTTTACAACTACATCACTTAGCAATGGCAATCCTGGTCTCAATTGCTGTCATAACCCAAGGACTACCTGTAAATATGTAATGGTCAGGATGTACTTGACACATACTCATTATTAGTAAAGAACTTCCATTTTTCCTATTTGACCAACAAAAGGGAAAATCTGCCAATAATAACATGGGTTACAAAAACATTTAACAAGTAAGTTGAGTATTGTTTTAAATTCAGGATCTTACTGCCTCTTGCAGCCCCTTTAAAGAACTCAACATTGCTTCTAGATAGCTGTTTGGTCACAAAACGACAGTATCTGCTACAGCCTCCAAGTTTCCCATGATCAACCAGGATAGCTTAGTGGTGGGAGCTTAGTAATGGTAGCTTAGTGATGGGAGTTGGTCCAACACATCCAGCATATTACCAGGTGGGAAAAAGTTTCCCATGATGTGTACTCTCCTTTATCATTCCTGATCCTTGTAGCCTTCTAGTAAGTTAGAATTCAGTTTGATCAGGGAGGTGCCTGCTTTACAAATAGTTATTTTCACATCTAAACAGTGTCATCCAAGGCTAGTATAAAAATCCTTCCCTTCTCTTCCTGCAGAAATAAATTTATAATATACTTTGAGGATAACACTGAACATTTCATAGCCTGCCTATGGTTGAAAACTTGATAGTAAACAAAGACACGTGGTTTCCAAAGGCTCAAAATATCAAGTTGAGAATAAGTTCCATTTCATGATTTACTTCTCAGTAAAGATGAATGTATGTAGTTATATTGCATGTATCATAGAAAAGTTGAGCTGAAATCCCAAGTTATTTCTTTTTCAAATAATAGTTTGTTTTTCAGCCATCCAGTTCAGGAGTGTACACAAAGCTTTATTCCTTTTCTTTCTTTTGCTCCTTCATTATTTTAAAGTTGGCACTTGTTTTTTTTTTAAAAAAGCCAGAAAACACTCGTTAATTACAATTGATGTTATTCCAATTGGATGTGTTCCTATTTTGAAACTTTTCAACAGTATGCAAATTTCAAGAACTTAGCAAATCTAAAAGATTTCCAGAGTTTGGGTTCTATAAATGCAGAGCTTTAAGCGCCAAATTATTCTTCATACTGCTTTGAGATATGAAAGTAATAAGAAATACATCAGTTGGTTGGTTTAAATTGTGCCCTGCTCTCTAATGTTCCAGAAGACAAGACTTCTTGGTTTGTTGCAAACAGGATCCTCCTATCTCAAAGTTTCTTCCCCCTGGAAAACTTCACAGCATTGGCAGACTAGAAAGCAGGTATCATCTTCTACACAGACAAGGCCAGAAGACATAGATTGTTTTGGACAGAAAGCAGTCAAGTCCAGATACATTAGCATAATCCCTCATGAAAATCAACAATCAGCAAGTATTTCAAATACTACCATTCAAGCTACACTGTTTTACCAAATTATACGGACTATTCTTTTAAGACCACAGTGAGGTTTAAAATGAATCACAGTTGCAGTTCTTCCAGTGCTCCATTTTGGCTTTTACTTTAGCAATGAAGTCCTCAGAGGCACATGAAAGTGGAAGTCGTGGTGGGCCCATTGGGATCCCGGAGAATAATGTCATGACTGCTTTGATTTGAGGAACACCAAAGCCTGCCCAAAGTGCAAAAATCATTCAGTTAACATACTACAGCATATCAAACAATTGGTAGATAGCTTTTTAGTGATGTGTTAATGTAATACAGGTAGTCCTCAACTTATGATGGCAATTGGGCCAGAATTTCCATCGCTAAGCGATGCAGTTGTAAGGCATGACTGCATCGCTTAGCGACGGCAATCCCTGCAGTCCTGGTTGCTGTCATTAACCAAATTGCAGAGTCATTAGATGAGGTGACTTCCTGCCAGTTTCCCACAACCAAAGTCAACGGGGAAGCCGGCAGGCAGGTAAATGGCTGCTGCTGGGTGGGGGAGGGAGTGGGGAAGTGCAGGGGAGGGTCAGGGAGGGTGTGTGAGAGAGGGTTGGCGAGGGTGCATGAGGTGCACTGGAGTGTGCAAGAGGTGTAATGTGGATCAGGGAGGGTGTGCGAGGATGCAAGGGGATGTGCATGAGAGGCATGGCGAGGGTCAGGGAGGAAGGGTGCATGGTGTGAACAGATGGGGGAAATGTGCCCCAGCAACTTGTGACCTTTCCTGCCAGCTTCCCCACTGACTTTCTGGGGAAGCCGGCAGGGAAGGTTGCAAATGGCGATCATGTAATTGTGGGGCACTGCAACCGGCTCTAAGTGCAAACTGGTTGCCAAGTGCCCAGATTGCAATCACATGAACTGGGAGGCTGCTGGGATGGCTGGAACTCCAAGGACCAGTCATAATCACCATTCATTCAGTACTGACGTAACTTCAAACGGTTGCCAAACGAACGGTTGTAGGTCAAGGACTACCTGTACTAAAATTAGAAAGAGGGATTCAGATCCTAAGTGTGATATATGCTTCAATCTGGTATGGATGCACTCACTGCACCTGTCAGTAGCTCCTAAAGAAGGCATACTTTTTGCTGAGCTAGAGTTAAGGAAGTGGGAACAGCATAAGACTATGTGTTACTGCCTCCTTAATTCCTGGAAATGAATGGCTACCATGTGAACACAGCAAAATATATGGCTTCTTTGAAGAGCAGTTGACAGTTGTACCTGCTTCAGATTGCAATAGCTGCACAACCCTAAAAAATGAAAAAAATGTAGCTGGAAAAGGAGAATCTGAATAAATAGAAAACAGTAAATCAAGAACTACAGGTAGTCCTTGGTTAACAACTACTCGTTCAGTGACTGTTCAAATTTACAACAGTGCTGAATGAGTGGTACAGGTAGCCTTCACTATCCGACTACAATAGAGACCAGAATTTAGGTCATTAAACGATTTGGTCATTAAGCAAATCAGAGCTGATTTTATGATCTTTTTATGATGGTCTTTAAGCGAATCACCGTGGTCGTTAAGTGAATCACCATGGTTGTTAAGCAAATCCAGCTTCCCCAATGGACTTTTTTGCCAGAATTTGCTTAATGGCCATGTGATTCGCTTAACGACCACAGTGATTCGCTTAATGACCATCGTAAAAAAGGTTGCAAATCGTTATCACATGATTGCAGGGTCATAAAGCACTTTTCCCAAGGCCATCATAACTCTGGACCATCATTAAACAAATGATACTTAAGCGAGGACGATCCGAGTTATGACCACTCCTTGAAGTTCCAGCCATCGCAGCCCCCCAGTGGTCATGTGATCACGATCCAGCACTCAGCGACCAGCCTGGATTTCTGACCTTTGCAGCATCCCGTAGTCACATGATCACAATTTGTGACTTTCCCTGTTGGCATCCCACAAGCAAAGTCAATGGGGGAGCTAGCAGGAAGTTGGAAGCCCTGGTCATGTGAGGTCCTCGCTTAATGACCTGTGGTGATTTGCTTAACAGTAGTAACCGGGGACTGCCAGAACAGCCGTCACTAAGCGGCACAACTGCATTGGTTAGCAATGGAGTTGCCCATCCCAATTACCATCATTAGGACTACCTGTAGAAGAAAGCATGAAGGGCAATTTATAAAATTAATGAGACACGGTTGAATGGAATTCTATAGATTTGAACTTCTGGGAGATGGAAACTGAGATTTGGGGGAATTGAAAAGCATTCAGTCCATGTTAGGGTGAGCTATTTAGCAGAGGCAAAAGGGTTAAATTACTGAAGTACTTACCTAGTGAAATGAGATAGCCGAGGAAGTCTTGAATACAGAACTAAGAGAGACAAAGTAAAATTATTAACCTAATGCCTGCAGTATTATAGTCAGATCCAATGGACAGCTGTGGGAGGTGAAAGAGTGGGTTTTATGCAACAATTTCAATTACTGCTGCCAAATTATGAGCAGAGACAGTACCAATTGTCTTGATGGATTCAACCAGGAAAATGTTTCTGAAGCAACTATCGTAACAGCCAAAGGTTACTTGCACATATTCCTTTCTGACAAGGCAGTCGGATTGAGTGGTTTCCACATAATTTCTTCACACAATGCATACTGAAGTCAAACTATGATATTTCTTATCATAGTAATGGCTGTCAACTTCGAAGCTGCGAAAATTTTCTCCAAGAAAATTCATGGAGAATAAGGTTGTTAACAGGGAGTATAAGAGGGGAAGTACTCCATCTCTCTTGTCCTTGTTGACCACAATGAAAGATAAGAATGTAAGAAGAGTTCTGAAATGAATCTGACAAAAGGCCTACATAGGCTAGCATTTGTCTGATTCATTACAGAACTGTTATGTTCTTATCTCCAGACCCACTTAGATGAGGCTAATCATCTAATTCTATTTTAATCTGGTTTTAGGTGCAGTTTTGAAATGGACACTGACTTGATCACCTTCTGGATGACCTTATTGGGAGAAAATGTGACTATTAATTCTGGAGTTTTCAGTAGCTTTTGATGCTATTAGTCGTAAGATCCTTCTGGGGAGGCTAATGAGGATATAATCATTACACTGCACTTTAGTTCCTGTTTGGAAAGCTTATTTCAGAAAGTAATAGCAGAGGGTTAAACATCTACATGAGCATGTTAAGCAAGATGGCATCATTTGTAATGGAAGGCATGTGCGAGGAGAATACTGGAATGGAGGATCAAGGTTATCAGGAAGGAGGGGAAGCATTCCTGACCAAGCGCTTCCTCAGCCCACAGCAGGACCATGAGAAGGTGAAGAAGTTGAGACTGGCCCCTCCCTAGAGTCTCTCTCTCTCTCTCTCTCTCACACACACACACATATATATATATATATATATACATATATGACTCTATTTATACACACATACACACACACATATATATATAGAGAGAGAGGGGGGGGAGAGAGAGAGAGAGAGAGAGAGTCTCCCTATAGCCACTAGATGCTTTAGCATAGGTTTAGTCTGGCGAGATTCTGTCTACTAGGTGCAAGCTAATAAAGGAACTATACTGGACTGGACTGCCTCGTCGTCGTTCTTGGGCTGGGCCTGACATCATTACACAGGTGACATTCCAATTTTTTAATGTCCAGTTCAGGCAAGATATCTGGGATCTCAAAAGACTCATGGAGGAATTGCATTCTGTTGTATCATATCTCACTGATTTCCATAAATGAGAAAGGGGGGATGCTTTAGAGCATTTCTTTTCAAATCAGGACCTCTTGAGGATCACAACCTGTATTATGGTGATATGTTCTTGCCAGCGGTAATCTAATTTGTTTGATAATGCTTGAAATCCATTGGTACTCTCGTCACTTTCCATCTGTTTCTATTAATTCATCCAAACACTGTTCCATTCTCTCCTAAACTGTATTCATATTTCTAAATCGATTCCACACTTTCAATTTTATAATACCTTCATAGGCCTGTAATACATGCTATGGTTTAATTTTTAATTTAATTTATTAAATTTATATGCCGCCCAACTCCCAGCAGTAATTATAGCAAAGAACAAAGTAACTTGCAATTGGCTTTAGTCAGACATTTATATGGTGGGATCTACCCAACCTTGAAGAAAGGTACACATGTTCTGTTATGGTTACTATTTGGGTAGGAGATCACCGGGAAATCCCAGGTTATAAACTAGAGTGGAAGGTAACCAAAAAAAAAAAAAATCCAGAAGAAGGCAATGGCAAATCACTTCCATATTGCTAAACAAAAGTAGCATGAATGTGTCCATGTAATTCATCTGGAGCTGAGCTTGACCTGAGGAAGACTTTACTTATTTATTAGGTATACCTCATATTTTTGTGCTGTGCAGATATCTCCAAGGGCAAAAGCTTCCAGTATTAAGTTATGTTTCTTGCCCAGGTAGTTATATGTACTGTTAAAAAGAAAAAGAAAAGAAATAGGAATACAAACAATGAAAAAGTAAATTCAAACATTCAAGACTTGTCAGCACAATACAGGTGATCCTCAGTTAACAGTGGTAACAGTCGGTAACATCCCTAAGCATAGAAATTGTCCAGTGGAGTCCTGTGACAGTTGTGCAATTATACAAAAGGAACAGAGATATTCACATTTCGATTACAAATTAAATAACCCAACCCAAACTACAGAGGAGATGAGCAGTGAGACTCCCATGTGTGTTTTAACTCAAAATCTAATTGTAGAATGGCTCAGATTAAAAGTGCTGCCTTTTCCTACATGGATGGGAGTAATTTTGATTGTAAAAATACTCAGCATGGTAAGTGCTATGCAGTTATGCTATTCCACCTGAATCACATTTGTGTCTCCGTCATTGCTGACATAACCCGAAAGGTAGATATATCCCAAACCACCAGCACTCACTGGTAGGGAAGATAGGAATTCTATTTATAAGCATCTGCATGTGGAAACTGAAGGTGTATAAATGGAAATATTCAGGAAACAAAAGATTTGCTCTTGACTGCTTCAGACCCTTCCTGGACAGCTTAGACTTCAAAAGCTAGTATTTAGACACTTTTAAGGTATAACTAACTTTAAGCAAGTTCTCACATATATACATATGTCTCAGTGATAATTAATAATTCACATAACATCTTGTATTATTTATTACACCAATGCAATATTATCCACCATCAGATGTAATAAGTGGCTCTTAACTGAACCAGAATTGTAATGAGATTTGGGGTTTGTCTAATAAACCCAGAAGGACTTCTTCTTAACATTTAATTCTTAAGAGCTAAATAATTCTGAGAGTACAGTTCTCAGGATGGGTGCTTTTAATTAATGTGTCATAAGATCTGGAAAAAAAAAAGCTGGCTGATAACTAGAATAAAGTTAGCTTTGAATTCTAAGTAGTTACAGTTCAACACCCTGAAAAGCATTCATTTGGGGAAGACTATTCTACACAAGATACAGCACCCAAATTCCCAAAGGCCCCTCAGCCATGTACAAAAGACAACTGACCTTCCAACAGCTCCATTCACTCCTATCACCAGGGCACTCAGGAGTTGCTACTTAGTGGAAAAGAAAAAAGGTGGGTTTTATTTATACATCACTTGAGCCAAATGAAAGTGTTCCAATAAAGCCACTTGTTACTGACACAATTCTATACCATTCAACAATAATGGAGCCATGCTGTTTTTGACATACAGAGGTTCTCTGGCAAGATGGCAACCATTTCCCGCCCCAGCCTCCTATTCCCATGGCCAGCACATCCAGTTATTCATTCTCTCCAAAAGCTCCCTAGGGCAAAAGAATTTTCCTCTTCCATTCTCTCTTGGGATTGTTCTGCTCAACAGATTTTACATCCTTCTTCCAACCAGCCAACGAGTTGGCCTGTCCCCCATATAGAGCATGCTTCTCAGTTAGAACACATCACTTTTTGTTCAGGAAAAGCACTAGGAATATTCAGCTGGTCGAGGATGTCCTCTATGAGGACATCCAAAACTCTATTTGTTTATGTTCTCATAGGAAGCATCTTGTGTCTGCTATAGTTAAGAACTTTCTATATAAAATCCTTACCTCATCCACACCATACATAAACACAAACTGGTCATCTTTGCTTTTTTGCACACATCGCCTCAAATCCAGGAGGTCTCTGTCACTGAACTTCACTCCCTGAAAGGTGGGAATCTGCTCTTTCATACTATCTAGTAACTCTTCAGCATGAACTGTACAAAAAGACATTCATAGCAAACTAAGTTTTCAAGTCTGATCAAGCAAGAGCCATCATTACCGTTGGCATCATTACAGTTATAAACTAAAGGTAAACTTATTTATCACATATGTATACTGTGTTGCAATTCTACTCAACAAAGCAAAGAGTGGCTACTACAAGTGGGAAGCATTTTCCAGAGCAACTTTTTGCAATGTGGCATCTTCCAGATACTTTTTTAAAGCCACTCCCACTTAAGTCATTTGGGCCTGATTTGACTACTACATTATTGTGAAGTGCCTTATGCTCTATCTCTATCCATAAATCAATCCCACTGAGTTCAACAGAGTTTCCCTGGAAGAAAATAAGCATAGAATAGCAGTCTTAAAGAAATATTACCTAGACATGGTTTAAAAATTCAAGATAGTGAAAATAAGCTACTCAGAGTTTTGTCAGTGTCTACTGAAGAAACCTCCTAGAGAAGTCCATGGAAGAAAGATGGATGTAAATATAATACACAAAATAGAACTGCTTAGAAGTAAAGTTATCTTGAGATAAACTGGGTTTCTAGATTTGTAGCACTTACTTTTAATGCCAGTTATAGGAGGGATGTGATAATAATAGAATGGGATGTCAGGAGCTTCAGATGCAACTTCCCGGAAGAAGGCAACTAATTCACCTAAAACAAGACAAGGGAAGCAATATGGAGCATGGACCAACTGTAAAAATACAACTGAAAATGGGGAAAGCAAAAGGAAGAGCATTACTCTAGGCTTTCATCTAGGACAGCATTCTTCAACCCTTTGGATATTTTATCATCATCCAGGCAGAAAAATGAATGGAACTACAGTTTAACCCAGTGTTTCTCAACCTTGGCAATTCTAAGATGTGTGGACTTCAACTCCCAGACTTCCCTATCTTCTATTCTCTGGAAATCTCATCTGGCTGCTGAGGTTTCACAAGATATAGGCTGTTCACACTCAATCCACATTCAGTGCTACATTCAGCATTTTTCTATACTCTCATAGAAAATGCACAGCTCTGCCTATGTGCATTTTGAGGAACCTGGAGGGAAAATTATAAGTGGGAAGCAGCAACCAGCTGAAGTGTTGGTTTTGCAAAAACTGCCAGAGTTTTTGAAATTTTATCACAGCTGTGGGCAGCTTATGATTCCCCAAACAGCTTTCTTTGCAGTGCTTGGAGCTTCCTATGAATGATGGTGTAGTTTTCAATTTAAAACATTAGCATAATCTCTATATCACCCTGAACATGTAACCAAAAGATTTCCCATCTTTGCTTTACAATTACACATTTATGCATTGGTGAAACTTGTTTAAGAAGCAGCTGACAACTGGGGAAACAATTCAATGGTGGCGCAGCGGCTTAATGACGCTGAAAGTTGCCGGCCAGAAATGGTCGACGCTTCAG